GTGAGCAGCACCTGTTCAAGCCTTCAGCAGTCTCAGTCTGTGGAATATTTATGGGAAAAGTAAGTAAGAATCTTGCAGTTCTTGTAGAGAGCCCTCTTTAGTTACTGATTTAAGACCATATAAAACCCAATAAAAGATAAACTCTTTGTTACAAAACATCTGGTAATTCCACTTGTGTTTTCATCATGCAAAGGCTATTTCCCTTTTCCCTTCCAGATAAGCAAATGCAAGTGGGAGTATGGTCTTAGTGAATAAAGATGGGGGGGGGGGAATAAAGCAGACATCATCTCCAGAGATTAAATTTCTTACGTATTAAACTGTTAAATGCATCGTTCTGCCCTTTCAGTAGAGAGAATTCCTTTTGGGGTTCCCAGTAAAGTCTGCACAGCACAGCACAGCACCGCTACCATATACCATTCACATTATTGAACCATCTTCAGGGTTAGGATGTGGTTGTTCTTAGTGGGGCATGGGGTCAGATTCAGCAGTGGCTGCTGCTACAGGAGACCGCATCAGATTTTCACTCTACTCCATCCCCAACCCAATTTAGCAACATGGTTTTCGTTTGGGTTATTGCTTTTCCATTTATCTCAAAGAAAGTATATGGACATGGCAGGGTTGGGGGGGGTTTCAGTTCACGAGGGAAGGGTAAATAGAATAGCACATTTGATTTGTCCACTCTCCACATTTGTTATGGGATGTGTGGCAAACAAAGGAAAGAGAAGTGGAGTAAAATGGGATGCACTGGAACGAATCAAAGCATGGAATTTATCAGAACGGAACAAAGTGTTATGTGTGTATATAATATTTTCACTATTATCTCAATTCTGTAAATTGTTCAAGGATAGTTGGCCTAATCCTATATAAAAAAGGTAAGGGCTTTTTTAAAAAAAAAGTATATGAGCATTTAGTATATTGAATTTATGTTTGAATTTGACACCCCTGCTTCAGAAGAGATAATATTATGCAGTGAGCTCCCATTGCTTGGCCCCTGCTCCTGCCAACCTAGCAGTTCGAAAGCACGTAAAAGTGCAAGTAGATAAATAGGTACTGCTCCGGCGGGAAGGTAAACGGCGTTTCTGTGCGCTGCTCTGGTTCGCCAGAAGCGGCTTAGTCATGCTGGCCACATGACCCGGAAGCTGTATGCCGGCTCCCTCAGCCAATAAAGTGAGATGAGCGCCGCAACCCCAGAGTCGGTCATGACTGGACCTAATGGTCAGGGGTCCCTTTACCTTTACCTTACTACATTTATTATTATATTCATTTCTGCAGTGAGCAAACGCTTGCTGAACTCTGTATTTCCTGCCCCACTTTAAGTATTATATAAACTGTGTTTCTTATTTATTAATCCAATAATTATTTTCTAGAATGTCTAATTATTCAATACACCAGCGTGTCTTTATGTCTCCTAGGAAGCTGAAGGAACAATACATGGAGTTCCCACGTGGTCACTGAAACTGACCAGATGAAGACCTCCTTCTCAACGGTGTCGCTGCATCATGTAGATCAGAGATGGGGAACCTGCGGTTCTCCAGATGTTGTTGTATTACAGTTCCCATCAGCCCCAGCCAGCATGGCCACTGGTCTTATTATTTTACAAACGCAGGACACCTGAAGAGGGTTTGTATTTCTGAAAGGGAAGCTGGTGGAAATGGGCTGGTGGGGTGAGAGGGGAATGCTGCTTATGATTGCTAAAAAGCCACGAGTAGTAGAAGACAATCTACTATTGATAAAATCTTTGGCCTTAGTAAAAACAACTCCAGTTAGTTCAAACAAGTGTGAGAGATAGAGCAAAATGGAGACTGTGATTCTGCTCTTGATGTATTCAGTTGCATACTGGAGTATGCAAAGCATATGTGCCGCAGCTAAACTATCCTGCCCATCCAGTTCTTCACCCTGTCATGACCTGCTGATGATCATGCCAATTCAGTACACTTTGATATTTTGTTCCATATGCCAGACAGAAGGCAACCATGCTTATGATTAGGGCTTGAAAACCCCACTGGATCCCTCCAAAATATCTAGCATATGATGAATGTTAATTGTATTACATTAATTATTCCCTTTCTCTGGCACAGGACATGTGTGTTCCAAGGGCCAAAAATAATGTGATATGTTCCATGGGATGTGGTTCTGAGGCCGGGCAGATCAGAAGGGGCTAAACACAAATGTGGGAACAAGGTGATAAACTGACCCATTTGTCTGCCATACTATCTACCTAGAAACTTGTGTATGAGGTGGCTTCATTGGTTCTAAAATACACCAGCAATTTATATCACTATCGCACTTCTAATGTACATATGCTAGAAAGTTAGTCATCAATAAATCAGAGGCAGCATGGTTTAATGAATGCAACACAGTGATCTGTAGCGACTTAGGCTTTGTGGTAATATTACCACTTAGTTTTAACTCTGTGGTAATATTGTTATAAACTTTGAGACCCTGGTGCATTTCTTGGGCAGAGTATCTATCCTCTTTTGTGTTTTCAAAGCCAAGTGGTAATATTACCACAGAGTTAAAACTAAGCACAGTTTGAATGCTACTATGAAGGCCTCATTCATTTGGCTAAGTTCCATTTGTTCCCTGTGGAATATACCCTAATGATCACTTTTCTTAATATAATTGCTGAGGGATGTGTGTTAACTCTGGGATTTATTTATTTTAAATCTTCACTGGGAAACACATGAATGGTTTTCCTAAAATGGCAACTCCCCTGAATCTTGCAGTGGCTCTGAGGCATCCCCAGATAGTTTGAATGTATTGGGGTTCTACTGGGGTTCAAACAGTGAACATCCGGACAGAAAAGTTGTTGAGCTTTTTTTTTTCAAAGTTGCAGAGCTGCTGACCTTGTTTTAGCTAAATTATGCAGTTTTTGAGCTTTTTTTTTATAAATAGGCAAAAACAGCACTGTGACATGGGCTTCCATACGTCTGGATTTTCCTGGACATTTGCTGCTGCTGTGAGTGCTGGAAGGAAGACCTGCTCCCTGCTGCAAGGCCCATTTCCACCTGGCCTAGGGCGTGAGGCCGACTCATCCTGAACAGGTAAAAGGCTCCTGGGAGGCCACTGGGACATTGGTGGAACAACTCTTGGTTTGGGGCAACTGGCTGAAATGTTTTTAAATGTTTTAAATGGTTCTAATTTTGGTTCCTCTGTTTTGTTTTTGTCAGGTTGGTGTTGGTTAAATGTTTAGTTGGGGTTGGCAATTATTTTAATTTTGGTACAACTGTAAACTGGTTGTTGTTGTTGTTTTCTATTGATTTATTGGTTTTCTATGTTGCTTGCCAACCTAGCAGTTCGAAAGCACGTCAAAGAGCAAGTAGATAAATAGGTACCGCTCCAACAGGAAGGTAAACGGCGTTTCCGTGCACTGCTTTGGTTCACCAGAAGCGGCTTAGTCATGCTGGCCACAAGACTCAGAAGCTGTACCCCGGCTCCCTTGGCCAATAAAGTGAGATGAGCGCTGCAACCCCAGAGTCGGTCACAACTGGACCTAATGGTCAGGGGTCCCTTTACCTTTTACTATGTTGCTTGTATACTAGGATATTTTGTTTTTTAGTGTTTGGTTGTGTGTTTATATATGTTGTAAGCCATCCAGAGTGGCTGGGGAAATCCAGCCAGATGGGTGGGAAATAAATAGTATTATTATTATTCTTATTAGCCCAAATTCCGCCTGAACACTGCTAGAGACAGCTGGATTCCAGCTATGTCCGGGAAATCCGGGACATATGGAAACCCTAGAATGTATAGTTCCAATACATGAGGTAAATAAATAAATACCTTCATATTTTAGGACAAGGGTGGTAGCTCAGTGATAGGGCATCTGCTTTGCTTGCAGAAGGTCCCAGGTTCCAGCCCTGGCATCTCCAGGTAGTGCTGTCTGATATCTTGGAGAGATGCTGCCTGAATTGCAACAGCATAGCACTTTACGTTTCCCCTAACCACAATACTGCAATGTTGAGTGTTAGGAGAATGTAGCTATCATCTCAATAAGAAACCCTATGTTGGGAGGTAAATTTTGTTTTCGTACATCTGAATAACACTTGCACATGTACCACTGTAAAATCCCTTAGCAAGCCTACATCTTGAACCCAGAGCTTTGAGCAGCAGCTCCTGAGGAAAGTTCTACTTTTGAAAATGCACAAGGTTCTCAGTTAAGTGGGAACCACTCTAGAAAGGCAAAGCATTATTAACAAGTGGTGGTGGTGGTGTGCGATGGTTAAGGAGGCACTTGGGGGAGGCTGCTGCCTTGAGTGGGCGACAGTTGATCAGGCAGAAGGCCTCCCCTGCGTGAAATAACTGTTATTTTATGAGAAGTAGGTGCCTGCCTCAAGCAGGCAGCGGTGGGTGTGGCCAGCTGGATGTTGGAGCTCTTCTCAGCGGCTGCTGCTGCTGCCGCCACCACAGAAAACAGACAGGCAAGAGCAACAGCAACAAACACCCTTCCAGCAACGGATTGAAGTGTATTGTTTGTGCATCACAAGGTCAAGTCGAGAACTACAGGAGGGCGGACCTGACTCCTCTTCTTCCTGTGCAAACTGGGCAAAGTTCTTTTTCCTCTTTGCCCTGTGGAAACCTTTCGGTAGTAAAAGAGGGCATTTGGAGGGATCGAAACAAACAGGCTCAATGGGGCAAAAATGTTAAGCGCCCCCCCATCTCTGTGTGTAGGGGGGGGTGTCGAATCCTGCCGTTCAACTCCTGCTTTCAATCTCTCCCCCCCCCCTTTGGCACGGTTGCTGAAAAGGAGCAAGTGCTTAACGTCAGCATGCTCCCGGCTGTAAGTGATCTGGATAACTATTTGAATTAAAAGCGACCCCCCCACGCCCGTCTCTCTCCAGAGTGGTAGTATTTCAGCACAGAGGTGGCCGCGTAACTTTTGTGACCCGCGGGGAAACGATTCTGTTCCGATCTCGATTTGCAACCTCCCCCCCCCCCCCGCCGCCGGCTTGCTTCACTCCCTCACCTCCCGTGCCCTCCTAGCGAATGCGAACTCCCCCCCCCCCCAGTCCCCACGCGCGGTTTTCGCTGCGAGGGTCTCTTTCCTCCTTCCCGCGGAAGAGGTTTCTTGCTCGGTGTTCCTTTCCCCTTAATATCCCTCGCCGCCCGCCTTGCACCTCATCTGTTATTTGCAAGAAACGTCTTTTTGACGCAGGAAGAAATGGCAAATTTGAAGTACGTCATTAATATGGCGCCAAAAGATTTTGTTAAGTATAAGCTTATTTTTTGTAAGGTTGCAGCAGCAGGCTAGTGTGTACGCCTGTGCATAGCTCCGGGGAGGTGAAAGCGGCGCGGTGGGGGGGGGGCGCAGAGAGAGAGAGAGAGAGGAAAAAAGAGGGGGAGTGTGTATATATGAGAAGGGGAGGAAGCAAAGAAAGTGTTGCAGCTCTGTGATCTGTGTGTGCACTGCTGCCGCCGTTGTGTGCGCGCGCGAGGCTGAAGATCATTGCGAAAGTGACCTGATCAGGCTTGTAGAGAGAGAGGGAGAGAAGGAGAGAGGGAGAAAAGGAGAGCGAGCCCGTGTATGCAACCCGACCTCTTTCCAGCTGCCCAGGGCACAAGAGAAAAGAGATGGGGACTCAGCGCATCGGAGGGAGGTGAAGGCGAGGGAGGGGTGGTGGGTGAGCAGTGCGTTGGGGTGGGAGGCAACACATGCCGAACACAATCAGGGATGGGACCCACGTTTGCTACTGCCGCCGCCGCCGCCGCCGCTGCACCTGGACCTGCTGCTCGTCAGGGAGGAACAACAAACAAGAAAATAAGAAATTGAGGGAAGGGGGTGCGAGGGGGCGTGGGGGGGGAGGAAGAAGGTGGGGTGAAACCGCCAGCATCACCCTAATTTGTATACTACTCCTTTGAAGAAGTCCCTTCTTCGCCAGCAGGGGAAAAGGGGGGTCGGAAGAGAAAAGAAGAAAAAGGGCAGTCGCAGGATTTCGGGCAATTGCAAAGAGATCCGAAAAGAAGTCTGGATTTAAAAAAGAAATAGGAACACGCAGGGCTCGCCGGATTTTGCACAGAGCGGCCATCTCAGCTGGAAGCAATTCTTTGGAATTGATTTTTTGTTGTTTTTGTTTTTAATTTTGCATCCATGGAGTTACTTTGTATCTACTCCTAAAAGAAGGGCAGCATCTTCGGATCCTACAAGGGGGATGGTTTGTCCCCTGCGCAATGGTGCCGGATTAGTCTTTGCAAAGGGAGATTCCATGAGCGGTTACGTTTTTGGAGCATCTCTTCCCACACCTCTCTGGTAACCCGAGGGACAGTCTCAACTCTTGGAGGACGCTCTTTCCCAGGCAAGGTAAGAAGGGTGGAGAATTGCTCCATTTTTTATTTTTTTGCAGCTTCTCTCGACCCCCCCCCCGCATTTGTTTTACTGCTCCCTGACTGTGCTGCCTGCAAAGGAGGATGGGGGGGTGGAAGAGTGTGTAGCGTTTTTAGACATGGATTGCGCATGTTGGTCAGTCATGTTTTAAAAGGGAGGCGGCAGGAATGTAAACAACAACTTTTTAAAGGATCAGAAGCCTCAGGAAACGTTTCCTCGAATTAATGACTGCGGCAGAGCTAACCCCAAAAGGTCTCGAAGCAAGAGGGTCGCCGGGAGAGGGGAGTTAAACACGTTTTATTGAGGTGGAAGGGGGAAGAAGGCGCTCGAGGGGCAAAAAAGGGTGGCGGGCGAAAAGTGCGCGGCGTGTGTGTGTGTGTTGTGCCCTGTATCCGCGAGTAAAAAGAGGTTCGCGCGGCAATTAGCAGAGACACGAGTTTCATTTTTGTTGATACGCAGCACGTTTTGGAGCCTTTGCATGTCTTGAAGCTGCACCCACATGATCCGCTCCTCTCACGTGCTAGGGTTGTGGGGTCCCTGCCAGCTCCTGCAACAGACACAAACAATGCGCCCAGGAGGCAGGCAGGCAAGCAGACGAGGAGAAGAGGCGCCTTTCCTTGGCGAGGGTGGGCGAGCCCGGGTGGGCTTGGAAGGGCGCAGGCTTTTCCGGGGTGCCGGTGGCTTTTGCAGTCGGGCTGCGCAGCCCAGCGACGGCGGTGGGCGGTTGCCCGGGCTGGGAGGGGGCAGGGCGAGAGTCGCGCCGCTGGGGGGCATGGAGAGATTTGGGAGTGGAAATGTACAGGCAACGGCTGCGACGGAGCTGCGCGGTGGGGAGAAGGACTGTAGGGGGCGTGGCTGTTGTTTACCTTCTCAAACTCTCCCGGCTCCCAACGGGCTCCTCCGGGGGCGTCTCATCTCTTCATCTCTGCCACTGAATCCCTCCCTCCCTCCCCCTGCCGCCCTCCCTGCACTTCCTTGCAGGCTTTGCACTTTGCCTGGGCTGGGCTGGGCTGGGCATTCCTCCTGAGGGCGGCGCATCCTCTTTTCCTGCCCTGCTGCCCCCACCCCTCGTGCGGACACCCGATGCCCCGCTTGCGGCTGCTTTCTATACAGTGCATTTATATGAAGTCAGAGGGACAGAGACCTGCAAGGCGCAGGTTCTGACCTGGAAGCCCACCCCTCGTCCCAGAAGTGTGTGGGCTGGTTGTGGTTTACACATGACCCTGAGGACAGATGCTGCCTCCCTCACGGTTAAACCAAAAGGCCTTTTCTTCCATTATGGTTGTTTGGTCTCTAGGGCTGAGTCCTCTGTCAGCTTAACCCCTGCACATCTTTCTTCACTCAAACATTCTTCTCTGCTACAGGTGCTGCTTATACTCCCCCCCCCCCCAAGTGCTGAACACCTTTCTGTCTTTCCCCGGCTTGGTCAGTCATCTTTTCCAGGCTAAGGGCAGGCATTCTGAATAGGGGGAGATACCCTTCAGCAGGGGTGAGGTGCCTGTGGCCCCGCAGGTGGTGTTGGACTCCAGCTCCCACCAGTCCAGGCCAGCACAATTGGCAGGTCAGGGATGATGGGAATTGTAGTTCAGCAATGTCTGTAGGGCACTATGTGAACTGCCTCTGGCCTTCAGCCTCCTGAGCTTTCATCATGGTGGGAGGTTGAATACTGGTGAAGGAGAAAGCAAACAAATGGCTGGGAATCTTTAGGCTAATTTGGGTGTCGGAAGATGCTCAGAATCAACATGGAATGAAAATAAACACATAGCTCACCCAGTCCCTCCCAATCCTTCATTCTTGTGTTTCCCAAGGGATTAGATTAGGCCTCATTCAACACTTCTTTAAAATGAGTGTTAATCTTTTTTAAAACAAAAAAACTTTCCCATACAGCTTGCCTACCCCATCCCATCTCCCATTTGTTCTCTGCTCCTTTTCCAAACTCTTAGGGCTTGACTTCCTTGTACATGTGATTTTTGTAGCAGTGCCTGAGCTTCCTACTCTTACCCAAGATTGTTCTCTTGACTCTTTAACATTCTTTGACGCATTCTGCACTTTGCTGTTACCCATGCTTCAATGGAATCTCCTTACCCTTCTGTTATGTTGTCAGTTATTCTGTCACACACACCCCTTGCTATTTTCCTGTGCTACTGAGACAGTCATACCTTCTTTTGATACTTCTCCATTGCTGGCACACTGGGACTGTCTCTTCTGTATAACTTTGCTCCTCCTGTAGTCCTTAATAGTATTAGCAGCCCTCAAAGATGCCCAGGTACCCATCTTCTCTAGCTTCAGTAAGCCCCACAGCAACATGATCATGCTCACTCTGTATTCCTGTTCTTAATTGCAATCCTCATCCTTTTTGTCTGCTACTTGTTGATATGTGGATGCCTCCTTCCTTTGGTGGGACTGTGAACACCTGGAAGTACCGTAAATCATGAGGACTGCTTGGTAGATTCTGGATTATTGTCCAGAAACTTATAAGTAAACAGAAATGCAGGTTAGCATTTAACTGTGTTAACTGTTGGTTAATCTCCCTCAAAGCATCTCAAAGATAGTCAGTTTCTCTTTGCCTGTTTCTCCCTCAGTCAGCTTCCTCTGTTACTCCTCTGTTACTCTTCATTCCTCAGTAAATGATGCTTGATGGTCCCTGCTTTTTCCACGTGTCCCTCTCATTTCTCATTTTGTCTTGCTTACTCTCCTTCATCTTCTGTGGAATTGAGTTCATAGAAGCAAACATTTTAATCTCTCCTTGCTTATGTTTGCATAAAGAAAAAACATAATCTCCAGAAGGTTGATTTCTTCAAGTAGCTTTGCAAATTGTTGGGGCCTCCCAGCTGTCACTCTGGGATATAAATTAATCTCTTTGCCCTCCACCCTTGAAACTTTGAGCACATTTTTCTTACAAATCAAATGCCCGTCTTTGATCGTGCGGCTAACAGCATTTTAATTTTAGACCTAAATTGAATATAATATCCTAATTGCCTTTTCAGATGCTAGGGAATCTGTCAGCACCCCTCTTAGAAATTGCATTTGTAGTTTTAAGTTGAGGAAGATGAAAATGCACCTGATCATTGTAAAAAGCAACTGAATTTCAGATGCAGCTGTATAGATCCCTAGGTGCTGTGAACCTTATGCACAGCAGCAGCAGCTGTTTGCAAACAGGCAATTGATTATTCCTCCAACTGTCATTAAACGCAGTGCACTAATTTGGTAAATCTACATGCAAAACAATATCAGAAAGACCTTTGCAAATGAGTCTTTGGCTCCTGATAGGGCAGCAGTTCACTTCCCTCATCTTCTCACTGGGGTTAAGCAATATTGGCCTTTAAGAACTATACTTGACCTTTAAACATTTGCTGGCCCCTGAAGTTGAAGCATATTTGAGACTGAATGAAAAATAGTTTGTATAAAGGTCAAGTTTGCTGTAGGAAAATTCAGCTTGGGTTTTGACAGCCAAGGCTGCTGAAACAGGGCAGGAAGGTAAACATATTCCTTGCTTATGGAGGCTGGCTTTACTCAGAATTTCCCTAAGGTTGTTGCCACTGAGGATATAATTGGAATAACTATAGTTGCCTGCATTAACATGGTCAGATGTTGAGGAGGACAGAACTTTTAATGTTAGGTAAAAGAGGGAGTTCTGTCAGGAAAAGCTTTTATCATGCAGAATTGAGAAAAGCTGTCCCTGCTGAAATTCCCTTGTTTATATAATTATTGAAAATATTGAAACCTTGGCTTCTTTGGACTTCTGTCATGCTAGTCCAAATACGTATCTTAAAGTCGCATTAACTTCTGTTCTGTTTCCAAGAATCTTAAGGCCTATGTTTACCCTGCCTTAACCTTGTTTGTATGAAGTTAAAAATGAGTAATGAAAGTTGTAACCTGTCAAATCTGGCTGTGTGAATGGAGCCCTGGGTACTCCTGGCACTAACGCACATTTTTCATTAACCTTCTGATCTTGTTCTATAAATAACAGTATTCCTGTTCTATAAATAACAGAAAATGGGAGGTGAGAAGTTGTGGGAACAGAAGACTGAAGTATGACTTGTCAGTTGTCAGATACATACGTTGGAGCTGCTTCTGATTTGGGGAAGATGTTGAATAGTTTGGGACAACAGTGCACAGATAACTGTGGAGAAGATAAATTTGCTGCTAGGGTTACTACTCTTGAGTTTATTTATCATTTTATTTATTCATTCCATTTATATGCTACCTTTTTTTGAAGGAGTTCAAGGTGGCATAGCTGGTTCTCACCTCTCTTTCTTTAATCTTCAATAACCCTGTGTGTTAGGTTAAACTGAGACTAGCCCAAGGTCATCCAGTGAGTTTTGTGGCCAAGTGGAGATTTGAACGCTGGTCTCCCAGGTCCTAGTCTCACACATTAAGCACTATGACTTCACTGGGATAGATAGCTTTCAGTTAAAAGCTGTAGACGGTAGAAGTCATTTTTCTCCCTTTGCTAGTGCAGCCAGCAGCTGGCTTTGAAAGTTGGTTGCCAAATCATTTTCAAGGTGCATATTTGCCAGTTATTGTAGGATTCCAAAATCAGGGCCTGGAGCATGCATATTCTGTATTTGGCTACACATCATCTTTCAATAATTCTGTTTAAAGTGGGCTATGCTTAGTTGTATTTTATTATTGTTATGCTTAGACATTACTATGTTGGTGATGCCCATCTCTCCTCCCTGTATCTAACATCTGTTGTCATTAACTTAATAATAATATAGCAATAGTTTCTTATTTATACCCTGCCCATCTGACTGGGTTTCCCCAGCCACTCTTGACTCTGTTGCTAGTTTGTCTGGATATGTCTTTGGATAACCAAAGGGTTAGCAGAATAAAGAGAGTCAGAAAGGGAAAGTAGGATCATAAATATGTGTGATTAAAAAAAATCCTCCTAGATATGGAAAAATGCAAAGCAGACAAAGTGAACACAAGAGAGTTTTGTTTTAAATTTAAATGAGCTTAGAAGTTGCTCCAGG